CCTCTGTTGGTGGTTTCAACCCCTCATGAAACGAACTGAATGAAAGTTCTCCCACTGCGAGAGTTCAAAAAGGGTCCTTCGTGTGCAAGGTCTAGGCCTCCGAGTCACCCAGTGTTGCAGTAACACCATACAAAATAGAGACAGTAGCTTTCACGAGTGAAGAAGATAAGTTGACACAGGTATAAGCCGCTAGTAATCAGTCGCGGCGAAAGGATCTCTGCAAGTGGGGTCACGTGCAGAGAATTCGCACCAGGACCCAATCGATTCAACGTGGCAGTGTTGAGGTTTGTCAGGTTAACTAGCTAGGAAACACTCTGTCAATGTACGTGCGTCGTCGGAACGGAAACTAACGATATTCATCCCGTTGATGCCACTCCACGTCACTTCGGGGTGATGCGGAAATAAGAGCGACCTAGCGAAGTGAGGATGAGTTTGAGGATAGGGTTAATCAATATGCACCCTGACCATTACTCTCGTGAGATAATCTGAAACTGAAATGTAAGCTGCCTATTGTCCTCTGACTTGAATCCCAACTTAGGCGCGCCCGTTTCAAAACCGGGGCTCCCGTTCGCGCGCGTATTATCGTTACTTGTTTTTCACAAGGCCAAGTTATCGCAGTTCTCATTCTTTTTCATTTTTTTTCTTCTGAACTTCCGTTTGATAGTTATCTTCACTCATTCCTAGTTGATTCTCTACAGTACAGGTGTTTCATTTCATTCTTGGATTGTTCTGAGAGATGTTGGTTTCTAATTGCAGTTGTTCTTGTGGTTTTGCACTCGATTCGGGTAAGTTTTCCACAGAAACTGCTGCTGATGGAGCCTTTTTCAGATTTCCCAATGGGTTCAGCTCGCAAACACGACAGAGCTCGAGGCAAGGACAAGAGCAGCAAAACCACGTCGGTACAACCTGCGCCTTCTGTCACGAAGGTACACGGGTGTCCAGTTCCCGATCCTATACGCTGTTTTATAGGTATGTACAAAGCACGGTGCCTTTGATGTTATTTTTTATTGTGCTACAACTGTATTTTACCTAGGAACACCTCTACCAGTTGGAGATGATGGAGTGAGAATGGAATGTTCGAATGAGAAATGTCCATTCGCTGACGTCTTGTTACATCAAAGATGTTTTGAAGCCTTTGAAGATCATTTAATCAAACTGATTGGTGGTCTTGGTAAGTGTCCTCATAGCCCTACTATTTTTTTCCCTGCAAAAGCCAATAGTGCCTGACTCGAGGGATTCAAACTTTGTTCACCCATAGCGGTCTCTCGGGAGAAGCTCACAGTCTTGTTCGTTAACGATGAAGGGACGATCAAAAAGTGGGTTTGGCGCGGTTCCAAAACAGTTTTTCACCGGCTGTTGAAGCTGGTAAGCGACAACAATTGGCGGAAAACGACTGATACGAAGTATGTGATGAGGTACAGTTTCGTCACCTGCTTATTTTAACAACTAATTGGAAAAAACATTTGGCGCCGCGCCAAACCCTTCCTTCCTACACAGCCCATCGTCCGCTACGAACAAAACTGAATGCACGAATGGAAGTAGGATAAGCACTTTGGAGTTATCATATCTTCTTCCAAAACTGAAGAATCGACGGATTGTGAAGTTGGGGGAGTCGGAGAATACGCCATGAAAGACTAGATGCGTGTCGACCTGCAGAGGACGAATGGTGAAATTGGTAGAGTTGGAGAAGTCAGAATCGGAAAAGTCGTTAAAAAGACTTGCTCTCCGATTCTCAAGATCTACAAGTAAATATTACTTTTTGCGGTTTCTTCAATTCTTCGGACTCCGCGATTCGACCCTCCAGTTTTGTGGCGGCTTAGCAGAAGCATAATGGGGTTTTTGACGGAGTTTCGGAGTCAAAATCTCCAGTTTTGTGAGGCTGCGTTCATAACTTACGGTTATGTCGCGTGTCGGGGACACTTGTGCGGAGATGAAATGCGAATCGAACTCGATCGCGGTTCGTACTTGCGACATTCTAACCACTGGTTGTTTTCTTCCTTAACAGGTCACTAAACGATCACAACTGATAGAAAAAGGCTGTCAGAGACGGTCATTCCATCCTTCCTGATAGCGCACCGACCGGTTGCGACGACCTCTGCTATACCTGGTTGAGGAAAAATATTCCTGTTCCTCTGTAAGCAGATGATAAGAGGATTCATCATACAACCAGAATAATTTGTTCACCAACTGTCGAAATCACCGTTTAAAGATTGGATTGTGCCGGCTGGCCAGACGTGTTCCTCCGCGGGTAAGGGAAACGTTGCTATTTCAAAACAAACCTCGACCCTACCGCGATTGCATGTTGTGGATAGCAGCGTTCAATTACAATCGCCACGGACGAAGGGCGTTCCAGGAGGTGTAAATTTGGCGCGGAGCCAAGCCCGTTCTTCACCACTTGTTGAAGCGAGCAAAACCAAGACTGTATCATATCGTTCATATCAGTGGTTTTCTAGCAATTGTTGTCGCATACTCGCATCAGCAAGTGGCAGAGAATGGGTTTGGCAGGTGGCACACTCATACTCCCTCACACGCTTCATCCTAAGGTATGCAAACCTTTAGTGGCTAAGTGACTCTCCAGAGAAGCGAAGAACAAAAAAAAATGATAGAGAACACAGTAAGGATGCACTAGCAGCTTCACTGTACGGGTTTTCCAGACCTGCCCGTTTTATGCCAGTCGTCTCTGGCTCACTGATCATTTCTTTCGGCCATCCAGTGCCACTACCATCTAACCTGAAAAAGAAACGAAAAACACGGTGTAAACACTGAATTTGTGACAGAAAATAGCCTTTGATTTTTGCAACTACAACTACGGAGCTATCAGAACTGCCACTTATAAGAACCGTAGCGCCTTCGTTATTTACTGTGGAGCCGCGAAAGCGGAACAGCCTCAAAGACAGCAGCCACACTACTCAAACAAGTGAAGGAACATGAATTGCTTGAGCGCGGGGACCATCTTTAATACACATTCTTAGCTCGTGGCATATGCATCTGTTCAGCGGTCCAAGCGTTAATCAGTCACAACTTTTTCAAAGTGCTTCGTAGTAGGAACTGCTCTTATTTTGAAAGCTTTTTTCAGGGTCAGCTAAAGGATGGACTCCAACGATGAGGCGTAACAACCTCTGGGTCCAGAAAGGTCAATCCCTTATCGCAAAGGTGCGGTTTACATTCTGAAGATTAACGTGAGCCAATGATGATATAAATTTTGCGCCTTCGTTCACCTTTGTAATTAAACATCGAAAAGCTCTAAGAGGTGCATTCTAATCAGTTTATGTCTAGTTGATTGTAGGCATGCCGGTGCCGTTGTGGACTTGGGATTACAAAGATGGACAAGTTGGCTGCTGACGATCGATCAGTACGTATCGGGTTGTAACATCAGTTTCCGCCATTTTTGTATTTTGTTTGTTCTTACTTTGCCTTTTTAAAGCTTGGAAAAATGGATGTGGTAATTTGAACAAACGCACTTTCCTCTACATGTCTACCACCGGCGTGTTCTGCATAACTTGAAAGTCCGGCGTTCACGTTGATCTGCACGCGCCTCTCCTTGACAAGGTAGCTCGGTCTGTATGATCAGCATATCCACTGCACAGAATTGTGTGTTACGGACCCTAGGCGCCCGTAACAAAAGTGATGCGCGGTCTACAGTTCTGTGCCACGCCCAACGTTCATTTCTAGGCTCCCTAGGTGGGATTGCTCTCTTACTAGCTTTTCCATTATAAATAGTATGAGTGATTGGGGAGAAAGAAGGATAAAAAGGATAAAGTCTTCGCCGTTGATCAATCCCTTTGTGGGATGCGGCACGCATTCTACTTCCATTCAGAATCGTAGTGGCTTATTGAATGCGATGTGGCCTATACAATGACTTGCGGTGGCCAGCCGATGTACAAGTCAGTGTTTTATCCTCCCAGACGAATCTGGTACCAATTTACCGTCCCCGGAGGGTAGAAGGCTTGGTTGGCCTGAGCAGACATACCAGCAACAAATTCGTTCAGACACGCTCTCTGTTCGCAGCTTTATCATACAAGCTTAGGGCAGGGGTCTACCAAAGGCATTACCAAGCTTTTGTGAGCGCGCCTGCAGTAGTAGTGAACGTTACGCGTCTAGGAGTGCCGTCGCGAAGTCTGAATGCTACCTATGCTAGAGGAGGGGGCGGAGACGGTCTTTAGGACCACACGTCGTCCCATGCGCGGCAATCTGAAAGCACCGCGAGCTTGCAGTAGAGTGCGTGGTCTTACCGTCACGTAACCCCGTAAGTGGTAGTATTATCCCGAGCTACTGTTTTTCGAATGAGGCGAATGCGAAGTGAAGCGATTGTCGCGAATGGATTCTCCTGCTGCCCATTTCAAGTGCCTGAAAATCCAAAAAATTCGAGTTATCTGGAAAAGTGGTGGTAGGCTTGTAGAAGAAAGGACGTTCTCTCAAATTACAACATCTACTTTATTGAGCTTCAAAGAGGTGAAATGAGAGTAACCAGAATACAAGTCGGCGGGAACTTATGCTACAACCCATAATGTTCTACGATATTCTTTTTCTGGTAGTATGAGGTACTTAATATAGCAAGATTGAATTACAATTAAGTGCACTACCCCTTATCGTCTATAACATGTTCTGCAGAAACGTGAAAAGGCTGAAGCGCAACGCGAAGCCGCTCTGGCTGCTGGATTGCCTGCATTGCCTCCGAAAAAGAAGCGTAAGTCAAAGAATGCTTTGCCGACACTGAACTTTGGAGTCGTGAAAGCTGCACCGAAACCGCCTGCTGAAGAACGAGAAGCACGTGCCCTGTTGTAAGTTTGTGTTTTTATTGCGTTGTTCCTGTTATGGAAACATTTACTCAAATGGGTTTCAGACGATGTCAAGGTGCGAAATTACGTGATGTGTCAGCATCATCATTATCTTCCACTCCCACCAGCTACCTGTCATTTGAGGTTTGTAGAACAAGAAATTTCTCACAGTGGGGCCGTATGTTCTAACGTCCCTTTTCGAAGGGGATTATTGAGCTCAATTTATTCGACAGCTTCTCGGCAGGGCAAGTAGCGTCATTCTCCCTTGCAACGCGCTAGGGTGCAAATGAAGTTCACCTGCTGCTCGAGCCGGAACGACGACATCCGCTCAGAATCATGTCAACGAATTAAGTTTGACCATTATTGGGGAGGTTGCGGCTTGTTACCGTCCTTAGTAATTTTGCACTTCTCACCAGTCTTAGCGACCCTGGGAACAGTCTCGGGCGACTAGGGGGGGGGAAGGTTTGCATCTTGTGAAGTGTCCCAGTCCTAGATCCAGTCACAAGTTGATGAACACTGTGAACTGTAAAATTGCAAGCTCGTCAAGCACCATGCTAACTGTCAGCTCTTTTATGCTCTTTGAAATAGCCTCTTAGCGAAGATGAATGAAATTAGCTCGACAGTCTTTTTGAAGCAGCAAAGTGCAAAATTGCCTCGTCGCTAAGTGCCCGAGTCATGGCTTCACCTTTCACAAGCTGTAGTAGTTCAGTTTCGGTCTGTCGGAACGTTGGGGTTGAGGTCTCTTTAATGCAAAATCGAGCGGTTAGAAACGTATGGGTGTTAAGCTTCAACGCTCTAGAAAATTCACGGTAGACGTGATATTTTCAGACAATTTACTATTTTCTTAAGAAGTTAAAATCATATTTTTAGTCGCGGAGGGAATCATTCACGTATGCATCTGATGTTTGGGGTTTATTACCAACGTTTCCGTCTGGTCCTGAGCCTCAGTCGGGTAAGTCCTTGCATCGAATTAGTCTTCATCTCCTATTACTACTTATTTTCTTGTTACTACTGGTGAAAAAAGCGATTTGATGACGGTTGGCTTGATTTGGGTTTATATTGAGCGCAAGATCTAGATGGTATAGGGGCAGGTGAGTGCCGCTATACTCGAGGGCGGCTGTATGGAATTGGGCCTGAACTTCACCGCTAATTTTTGGATCGCTGCAATTGACAATTAAACCACACTCATGATTTGAACACTTTCGAAAGAATCGGTTCAACGATTAGCGGTGGAGCGCGGTTAGTCGTGTTTCGCTATTGGTAAATCGCACCATCGGGTAGAACGGATCGTGAAGTAATCAGGTAAATGGAGAGGCTCGAACGTCTGGTTACTTGGTCGAAAAAATTGGGCGAGGTTCTCTACTGTTGATCCTTCCTTGCTTAGCCTGCTTTGAAGGTGGCTTGCATGACCATGCTCTCGCGCTTTTACAAGCCCGGCTATCTGGCTTGTAAAAGTGCCAGAGCGCCATGGTCGCGCGAGCGATTGGATGCGCGAAGTAAGAACGCGCTGTGATCTGTCCCCTTTCTCTGAGTACGAGTGCAGGCTAACGCTTCATTTCTCTCTCTTCTGTGCCCAAAATCTGCCTACTCAAAAGGTTCTTCTTTGGCCTTCGAGTGAGCTGTCTCTAGAGAATCTTTCTCATAATAACTTCTCCTTTTGTCTATTTCACATGCCTATCTCAGTGTGTTTCCTGTAGAAGATGAAAAGATTTGCTCATGGTCAGAATACAGAATAGTTGTAATGCGCAACTCGAAACCTATATTACGTTTCAGTCATGTCTGGCCACTTCGCAGATCCTGCTAATACGAGAGTCACTAGCACAGGGAACGATCTCACTCAGGAATGCCCCAGTACTAATGTGGGTTTCGATTTCAGTATTATTTTCATAATATTCACTGAATAGATCCTTCAGGAGCTTATTCCTGCACCACTTCCACCACGGCAAA